AAATGTGGAAGGACTTCAAAACGTGGTCAGACAGTTACATGACCAAGTAAATTCCCTAGCAGCAGTGGTGTTACAAAACAGGAGAGGACTCAATTTACTGTATGGAACACGGAGGGCTATGCACTGCACTGAGGGAAGAATGCTGCTTTCATGCAAACAGCTCAGGAGTCATCATAGAAACACTTGACTGGTTGGATAGAGAAGCCAAAGAGAGGAAAAAGGCATAATATAGCCACTGAGGGAGGTATGAAGGACTCTTCAACTGGGGCCTGGGATTAACCTCACTAATTGCTGGGATCAGAGGGCCCCTGGTGGTTATTGTAGTGGTCCTTACCTTTGGGCCGTGCATAATTAATTGGCTCAAAAATCAGATCCAAAGCAGTGTGAACCGAGCTCAAATGATGGTTCTAAAGGATAGCACCAATTATAGAGTGGAGACCAGATTCCCAAATGTGTGAAGGACAATATATGTTCTGGAAAAGGAAAATAAGTCCTCGAGTGGGGAATGGTAGGGCAAGAGAAACTCCGTTTTTTTCTGGTTTTAACTTCATAGTAAGAGAAGTCACTTAAAGTTAACTTAAACTGTAGCTGACACCTCCCACACCCTAGTCCCCTTGGTTAATTATCAACTTGATTAAAAGCAAAGCAAAGTCACAAAATGGGAACAGAACAAACAGGACAGATTGGGAAGTAAGCTAAAGGTTAAACTGCAATGATAATTTGGAATTTGGCTGTCCTACCTTCTGAGAAAGGTAAACTTTGTGATAATTATGTGACATTCTTGTGAGATTCCAAAACTGAAGTAATGGTTAGTATGAAAACCTAAAATGTACTTAAACCAAAAGTGAGACACAGAGTGGCATGGACATATTCTCTGGCTCCTGGTTAGAGATGGTTTGACATCTGGCTATTAAAGCTTTGTTTGTTCCTGCCTTTTTAATTTTCTTCTGATTGCCTTTCTTGTTAAACTTGCTTGCCATATCAGTGTAAATAACATATACTTGTATTTTATTCTCTCTTAAGAATACTGGTAACTTTTATGTCCCTTTCTTTCATGAAGCTTTCAGTTCAGTTATCTCTATACACTCTGTCAGAAGTTAGCTTTAAAATAGTGCCCTGAGCCAAATCCTCTGTGGTCATCTCAGCAAGTGTACAATCATTGAGACACTCCCCAATCCTGGTCCACAACAACAAAATAAATACAGGAATCAATAATACAGCAAGCATTTCTGTGGGACTCGGTGGTCTCTCAGTGGTCCCTGGGAGAAAATAGTGAGAGGATTTAGAAAATAAAGACAAGAGACAGTCAGAGTCAGTGGAGTTACCTCTTGCCTGATGAGCAAGAGGACTGACTTAAACAGTAGGGGTGCTTATTTATAACCTCTAGAAGTTGGTTAATTTCCGCCTCACTGCCCAGCAATCAGTTAACAAGTTACAACTGCTTGTTTATGTGCTTTGTGTTCTCAGGCTGGCTTCATCCTGCATGTGTAATTATTTTCCAGCTTCAGCAGCTCCCAACACATTTCTATGTACAACTGTTGCCCTAGTAAGCCTGTCTGTCCTATGTTTTACACCTGATGAAATCATCAATACACCTCTCCCCCTAGGCTTCTCTTGAGCCTGGTTTTGTTTGTAAGTGCACTCTCAGAGGTGTCCTCTCACCTGTTATTTCTTTGTACCCCGAGTCCCTGTTCAGGAGCCAATATGCTCTATCCAGCACAGCTTTCAAAATTCTCAGAGGTGCAGGATGGTAGAGGAAGGAGAAATATAGTCAAGAGTCAGGAAACAGAAAGCTGAGATCAGGTGGAGCAATCTCTCTGGATGGGAGAAAGGAACTGCTGAATAACTGCAGCATGTTTGTTTATACACTTGGCAATCTGATGTCACGTGACACCCTTCTGCCTAGTAACCTGTTTGCTTTGATTACCTTGGGCTGTCCTTGTTCTTCGAGCTGGAACAGCTTGTTCACATGGCTTACCTTGGGTATGATTGATCTCCAGCTTCAGCTGCTCCCCACACAAAAGAATTGAAGTAATCTTTGCATCCCATCAGATCATAATGGGTGCAACTAGAAATCAAGATCAAAAGATACAACTCAAAAGAAAAAACACATGGAGACCAAATATTACATTTTTGAATAAGCAATAGGTCTCAGGAGAAGAAATCAGGGGAAAAATTTTAATTCCTGGAACAAAAAGGTAATGTAAGTAGAACATACCAGAACTTCTGGAACACAATAAAACCAGTTTGAAGAGAGAAATTTATAGGTCAGAGTACCTATTTTAGAAAAACTATGTAATCCAAAATAAGTGCTATTGATTTTTGAATGTTGACTTTGTATTCAATTCTAGGAGTTGATTAATTCCCTGGGATGTTTCCCAGCTATGCTACTGAATTTGTTGATTAATTCTAGGAGTCTGTTGCTAGAGTTCTGGTGTCTTCCATGTAGAGTATCATGTCATCTGAGAATAATGATAATTTCACTCCTTCCTTTCCTATCCTTATTCCTTGTATTTCTCACTGTTGTCTAATCACTCTGGCTAATGTTTCCAGAACTATATTGAATAGGAGTGGTGACAGTGGACATCCTTGTCTTGTTCCTGATTTTAAAGTGAAAGTTTTCAGTTTTTGTCTATTTAGTGGCTGTTGGTTTGTCAGAGATGGCTTTGATCAGATTAAGGTAAACACCATCTATTTCTATTTTCTGTATGGTTTTTATTATGAATGAGTGTTGGCGTTTCTCAAAAGCTATCTCTGCATCTATTGAGATGATCATGTGGTTTTATTCTTTGGCTCTGTTGATATGATGTATTACATTTATTGATTTGCATATATTGAACCATCCCTGCATTCCTGGGATGAATCGCACTTGGTCATGGTGCAGCAGCAAATGGGCTGAACTCCATGGAAGACCAAAGAACTCTATTTAGGGCAAACAGAGTTTATTGAATTTAGGCTGGCTACTGTGCGTCTGCCAATGAACAAGTTGGGAAACGTTGGCACCCACTAGCCTTTGTTCCAACTCTTAAACACATTTTTGGTTTCCATGGTTACAGTCAGCTGACTCAGGTGGCCATATGGTTTTCCTCTTATTCTGTGGGACCGGGCTACATGTCTAACCATGATGGATGTTTCTCCCATTATGTTCTGTTTGTTCCCCTTTTTTACAACCTTACATTCCTTAATGATCACAATATCTAACTAGTGCTAGGGAGGGATGAAACAACCCAGGTAGGGTCACAGATGGTTATCTAGGCCTGGGTGTTCCTTATCTTGGGGAAACATTCCTGGGCAAAGTTGACTGCAGTTAGCTTTTATAACTTCCCTGGGATGTTTCCCAAGACACATTTTAGGCCTTTACTAAAAACTATTTTATCTTAAATGATATGCTAAGATTTGCCATCTCCTACAATGGTGTATAATCTTCTTGATGATTTGCTGAATTCTGTTTGCTAGTATTTTATTGTGTATCTTTGCATCTATGTTCATTAGGGAGATTGGCCTGTAGTTCTCTTTTTTTGTTTGGGTCTTCCTCTGGTTTTGCCTCCAGAAAAGAGTTAAGGAGAATTCCTTCCTTTTCAATTTCATTGGAGAGTTTAGGAGTGTTGGCATTAAATCTTCTCTGAATTTCTTGTAGAATTTAGCTGTGAATCCATGAGGACCTGGGCTTTTCTTTGTTGGTAGGTTTTTAAACATTTTCATTAATTGATATTGGGTTAGTCAGAATATTTATAACTTCTTGATTCAACTTTGGTAATTCATAAGTATCTAGGAATCTGTTCATTTCATCTGTGTTTTCTATCCTATGGGAGTAAAAAGTTTCAAAGTAGGTTTTGAGGATCTTCTGAGTTTCTACAGGATCCGTAGTGATTTCACCCTTTTCATTCCTTATTGAATGAATTTGAGCGTTTTCTTTCCTTTTTTTTGATAAGATTGGCTAGAGGTTTAGCAATTTTATTTACTCTTTCAGAGAACCAACTCTTTGATTCATTAATTCTTTGTATTATTTTCTTAGTCTCAATTGCATTAATTTCTGCCCTGAACTTTTAAATTTCTTCCCTTTGGGCTTTGGGCTTGACTTGTTCTTTTTCTAAAAGCTTGAGGTGCAGCATCAGGCTATTTATTTGTTCTTGTTCTGTTTTCCTGATGTGTGAGTTCACTGCTATGAATTTCCTTCTGAGGACTGCTTTCATTGCATCCCACAGATTCTGGTAAGTTGTATTTATGTTTTTGCTTGTTTGTAGATATTGTTTAATTTCTTCTGTGACCCATTGGTTATTCAGTAGGCCGTTATTTAATTTCCATGTGGCTATGGCATTTTTGTGGTTCCTTTTGTCATTAATTTCCAGTTTCATTGTGCTATGGTCAGATAATATGCATGGGATAATTTCAATTCCTTTTAATTTAATTAAGCATGTTCTATGGGCTAGTATGTGGCCTGTTTTAGAGAATGTCCCATGTGCAGCTGAAAAGAATGTGCATTCTGATATTGTGGGATGGAACACTCTGTAAACGTCTACTAAGTCCATTTGTTCAGTTACATGATTTCTTTGCTGATTTTTTGTCTAGTTGATGTATCTCTTTGTGACAATGGAGTATTGAAACCTCCCACTAAAATTGTGTTCTTGCTTATTTGATTTTTCAGGTCTATTAATAATTATCTTATATAGTTGGGTGATGTTGCATTTTGTGAATATATATTTATGATTGTCACCTCTTCCTCTTGAAGTTTCCCCCTAACAAGTATGTAATGACCTTCTTTATCCCTTTTGATCATCCTTGGTTTGAAGTTGACATTGTCTGCAAAAGGAATAGCTACTCCTGCTTTTTCCTTGGTTCCTGTTGCATGGAAGATTGTTTTCCATTCTTTGATTTTCAGTGCATGCTAGAATTTACAACTTCTAAGTAAAATGTTCATATGTTGAAAGACTATCATACAGTGGCCAAATAGTCTCAAACTGAGCTATGGATTCACTGAAATCATAATCAAAACCCAGCAGGCCTGGATTTGTACAGATGTAATCATGAAAATACAAAGGGCCAAGAATAACCAACTTAGAAGAACAAAGTTGGAAAGTTAACACTACTCGATTTTGGGAATTATTATAAAACTACAGTAATCAATATAGTATGGTACTTATGTAAAGATAGACAAATACAACAATAGAACTGATCATACATTCCACAAATAAAACCATGCATGTCTGGACAACTGATGACTTGACAGTTACACAAGGTAACACAGTGTAGTGGATAAAAGACAACCTTTTCAACAAAGGGTACGGAAAGAAATAGTAATCTATTAATCATCTATCTAAACTTTAATTCTTATATCATATAAAATTTTCACTTAAATAGATCTAACTACATAATCTACAATTAGAAAAATTAGTAAAAGCAGGACAATGTTTGTGAGCTTGGGTTAAGCAAAGATTCCTGAGATATGTCACCAGAAATACAGTCCATAAGAGAAAAAATGTATTGTACTTCATCCCAATTAAAAACTTCAATAGATACGCTTAAGATAATGAAAAGAAGCATGCACTGGGAGAAAATATTTGCAAAGCAAAATCACCTGATAGAGATGATTAAAAAAATATATAAAAATGGGCAAAAATTTGAATAGACATTTCACCAAATAAGATAGGCAAATGAAAATAAGCACAGGAAAAGTTGTTTAACAGCATTAGAACTAGAGAAGTGCAAATTAAAATCATGGTGAGATACCAATACACACCTATTAGAATGGGAAAATAAAAGACCAACTATACTGAGTGCTGACAAGGCTGTGGAGGAATTACAATCATGTATACATTGGTTGGCAGGGGGAGTAAAATGATTCATCAAGTTTGGAAGACAATTTGGCAGTTTCTTAAAAATGCTGAAATTTTCCCTACCATATGCTTTTGCCTATTTTACTCACAGGTATTTATCTAAAAGTTAAGGAAATATCTGTTCATTCAAAGACTTGAATTGGAACATTCATAGTGGTTTTATTTGTAACATTCCCTAAGCCCAAATGTCATCAACAGAGAAGTAGATGACACAATCTGTAAAAAGGAATATTTCTCAGCAATAAAAAGAATGTCCTATTGATACACTAAAAAACATGGGTAAATCTCTTAATTATCCTGAGCAAAAGCCAAACAAAACAGAACATAGTAGTGTATTTTACTTATATAAAAGTATGTATAGAAAAATCAAACTAACCTATATAGAGAGCAGACTGGTTGTCCTTTAGTGGGGTCAAGGAGCAGTGTGCTGACAGGAAGGAAGGACTTCAGAAAGAAACAGGGGTGACTGATATGTGCATTTTCTTGGTTTTGGTGATGTTTTTACATGTTTAAATGTCAAAACTTATGAAACTTTGCAGTTTACACTGCTGATTATATGTCAATTATATCACAATTACATGATTAAGGAAACAAGGTATGAAAGAAAAAGCATTAAAAAATATAATCCTATTTGTCAAAAGATGGTACTGATGAGATGAGCAGCAAATCAACTAGGAAAGGATGTACAACCATTAAAAGAGCAATGTTAATTTTATATGTTACTTTTATAAACTAGTAAGAGAAAGATAAACAACCAAATAGAAAATGTGTAAAGGATGATATGAAAATTTTTTTCCAGGGAAAGAAAAAAAGTGAAACACAAAACAGAGGAAAAGACACTGAGTCTAGTTAAGAGAAGTGTATGTGTATTACAGTGAAAATAGCCTCATGCATTTGGCAGAAACAGAAATCTCACAGCACTAAGCACTGGTGAAGACATGAAGCAAGTGGAACCCCTACACTAGCGGGAATGTAAAAAGGTGTGACCCATTTGGAAACAGGGCAACATTTCTACAGGTACTAGACATATATTCATCATGTATTTACACTTGACCCATCAGTCCCTCTCTGAGGGTTTTCCAGGACTCCTATGGAATCTGCATGTCCATAGGAGACCTGTAGACTCATAGGAACATCATTTGTAGTAGCAAAAATTGAGATGGTCCATAATCTGTTCTCCCCTCAGCAGCGGGTGCTTGTTTTAAAACAATGGCAGAGTCTGTTCCTTCTCTGCTGAGTCCTTCCACTAGGCCCTGCCTCACCAAGCTCCTTTTGTTCTCTCCCTCGGCCTCTGCTCCAACCACATCTTTCTCAGGGCCTTTGTCCTGCAGTGTTCATCCAGGTATCTGCATGGCTGGTTTCCTCCCTACCTTGGGGGTCTTTGCTCAGAGATCACCTTCTCAGTGAGGTCTTCCCTGATTCCCACACTTAAAAATCACAGCCACTGCTCCAGCCCCTTTCCCGGCTTGGCTGTTCTCCATCGACATCAACCTCCATCTACCATTTTCTGTATTCTGCTTATTTTTCCACTGTGTTCTCACCTCTGCAATGTAAGCTCCACGATGGCAGTGGTATTCCAATTTTTATTCACTGTGTCATGCCCCAGAGCCTACAACAATAACTTGCAGATTAGGTGATTGGGTAATATTTACTGAATGAACATCCAAGGCCATCAAAGCAGACAAGACAAACCATCCTACAGCCATGTAGTGGGAAAGTACACAGCAGTGAAGTTAGATCAAAAAGAGCTTCACGTATCAAGGATAAATCTCACAATGATGAATACTGGGAGCAAAAAATAGGATTTGCAGATAAGATCTTAAGGTACCCATAGCATTTACATAAATGCAGGTAAGGCTAAGTGTCGCTCCAGAAAACATACGTTGTAAAGTTTCAGGCGTGACACCACACTCAGGAGACTGGTTTCCTCCGGGAGAAGGGGTGCTGATTGTTGCACTATTCATTCATTACTCTACAGCCCAGTTCATAAACTCCTGCCTTTATCTTTCGCTCTCATCGTCTGACTCTGAGGAGATGGAGGTAGTGGAGCCCTTCACATGGCATGGGGGACCACGGCGGCATTTCATGGAGGAAGCCCAATCTGGGAGAAACGAGTTGTGCAACTTCAGCGGTTCCTTTCCACTCAGAAGCCTCAATGCCAGCACCGACACAGCCCGTAATGCCTCCTCGCACAGGGAGGTGACTGAGGGGACCCCGGCAGAGGGAGCAGCACCTCACACACTGCAGCCTATCCTCCCCATCCAGGCTCCAGGTGAACAGCTCTGTGCTGGGAGACTGCCTCTGTGCCCTGCCTTGTTCTGAGACTATGCGCTGCACTGCAGTCCTGGAGGCAAAGCCTCCTGGGACCTACCTTTAAATCAGTATCTCCTCTGCCTGAACAGCCTTTCCCACCTGTTCCCACGGTCACCCAGGTATCCTGTCTTCCCCAGTGTGCTTTCTGAGCCACCTTTCCCCTTCCTGGTCTTCCTTCTCAGATGGGCAGGCACAAAGGCAGGTGCTCCTCCCACCCCAGCCACTGTTTCTGCATTTCTTCCCTCTCATGTTGCTATTGTTTATATCTAAGTGCCCCTCCAAAGCCTGTTGTGCTTATAGACGGGACTTTGGGGAGACGACTGGATCATGGAGGTGTGATGCTCAGTCCACTGAATAGCTTCAAGCTAAAGGTGATGCTGGGAGGTGGAGCCTGGCTGGAGGTGGGGCACCGGGGGACCGGCCTGGAAGGGTTTCTCTCGCTTTCTCCTCCCGTGATCTCACCGCTTCCCGCTGCCTTGCTGCCCCGGCATGGAGCTGGCGGAGTGTGAACTGAAATCTCTACAAATTGAGAGCGAAAACAAACCTCTCCTCTATCCTGTGGGTGTCGGGCACTGTCTCAGCGATGAGCAAGTCCTGTGTCCCGTCCTCCGTGTGCTGGGGCCAGGCCGGACTTGCCTGGGACTCCTGGTCACATGGTGATCGCTTCATAAGTACTGGGAAAGTAAGCCGTGCGCCCGGGAAGAGCGGCCTCCCCCGAAGGGGCGAGCAGGAGAGAGACCGGCTCGCGAGGTCACAGCGGGCTCCCCTGGGCACCCGCAGGGGCCGGCCCCGTCCCCGCCGCCGGGGAACGCTGACTCGGGGAAGCGCCAGGCTCCCGCACAGCGGCGCCCTCTGGAGGGACACGGGGCAGTCCCGCGGGCGCGGCGGCGGGCTCCACGGGCGAGGGCACGATGGAGTTCGCTCCCCGCCCTGCAGGGCGGCACGATGACAACCAGCCTCCCGACCACGACTGGAAGAAGGAGGCTCCAGAGCCCGGCGCCGTTCGACCTCCTGCGGCAACAGCACCTCTGTCTGCCGGTAAACTGGAGCTCCGGAGCTGCGTGTCCCCAGGCCTTCCAAACGGACCGCGGGGGCCGAGCGGAGAGCCGTTCCCGCCTGGACCCGCGATGCACACAGCGCCGCGCACTCCGCAGCCTGGACCCCGGCGACCCGCCCCGCCCCGCGGAGGGGCGGGACTTCCGGT